ATCCCCCACCCCCCTTCCCCTGGTAACCACTGAACTGTTTTCTTTGTCCATGTACTTGTTTATATTCCACATATGAGTGAAATCATCTGGTTTTTGTCTTTCTCAGACTGGCTTATTTCCCTTAGCATAATTCCCTCTAGGTCCTTCCATGTTGTTGCAAATGGGATGAATTTGTCTTTTTTTCTGGCTGAGCAGTATTCCATTGTGTATATATACCACATCTTCTTTATCCAAGCATCGGTCTATGGGGACTTGGATTGTTTCCATACCTTGGCTATTGTGAATAGTGCTGCAGTGAACATAGGGGTGCATATGTTACTTTGGATTGTTGATTTCAAGTTGTTTGGGTAGATACCCAGTAGTGGGACAGCTGGGTCATATGGTATTTCTGTTTTTAGTTTTTTGAGGAATCTCCATACTGTTTTCCATAGTGGCTGCACCAGTTTGCATTCCCACCAGCAGTGTGTGAGGGTTCCCTTCTCTCCACACCCTCTCCAACATTTGTTATTTTTAGTCTTAGTGATTAGTGCCATTTTAACAGTGTAAGGTGGTATCTTAGTGTAGTTTTGATTTGCATTTCCCTGATGATTAGTGATGTTGAACATCTTTTCATGTGTTTATTGGCCATCTGTGTATTTTCTTTGGAAAAATGTCTGTTCATAACCTCTGCCCATTTTTTGTTGGGTTGTTTGTTTTTTTATTGTTCGGTTGTGTGAGTTCCTTATATATTATGGAGATTAACCCCTTGTCAGATAAATTATTTGCAAATGTTTTCTCCCACTTGGTGGGCTGTCTCTTTGTTTTGATCCTAGTTTCTTTTGCCTTGCGGAAGCTCTTTAGTCTGATGAATTCCCACTTGTTTATCTTTTCTTCTGTTTCCCTTGTCTGAGAGGACATGGTATTTGAAAAGATCCTTTTTAGTTCGATGTCAAAGAGTGTACCACCAATATTATCTTCCAGGAGTTTTATAGATTCAGGACGTATCTTCAAGTCTTTGATCCATATTGAGTTTATTTTTGTGTATGGCGTGAGATAGTGGTCTACCTTTATTCTTTTGCAAGTGGATGTCCAGTTTTCCCAACACCATTTATTGAAGAGACTATCTTTTCTCCATTGTATGTTCTTGGCACCTTTGTTGAAGATTAGCTGTCCATAGATGTGTGGTTTTATTTCTGGGCTTTCAGTTCTGTTCCATTGATCTGTGTGCCTGTTTTTGTAACAAAAATGTTTTGACTTTACTGACATAAGTTTACTGGAAATATGTGAGTTTGTCACAGTTCTGGACAAGGCTGCTGTCCAGCAGGCCAGTTCTGCTCAGTGATCTATGGTTTCATTTCAGTGTATTTACGTTGGCAGTCCTCATCGAGGACAAGCAAACATTTCCTAACATGAAGCAGGAGATCACAGACTCCCCACTGCTCACGCTCACCTTCCCCGGATTCTTGGTTGGATGCAAGATGGTGTAGAATGAGTGAGTTAGGTCACCTTATCTGCTGAGACAAGGGGGTTCTAACACACCCCATGGATATGCATCTGGACGAATCCAGATGGAGACTTGAGGCAATGATGCAAGAGTGGGTCATCTCTAGGTCATCTCTGTTCCTGGGAACTCTGGAGATGGTGAGCAGATGGCAGCTGGGCTGCAGGTCCTCCATGACCGAGCTTGGTGGTGCCAAAGTTTGCTAAGATCCAAGGGTTTGGACTAAACTGTTCTTTGAATCTCCTACAGAAAGACTCAGAAGTCTTAGAACAGAGGTGGCTTTGGCTGGTGGTGGGCATCACAGCCTTCAAGATGGGCTAACATGGCCTGGCATCTAAAGATTTTTCCAGCCCTCCCATCCTGGACATGACCCACAGTGAGTGGTTCCAACCCAGTCCTTGTGGGTCACTGTACCTACAGCTACACTAGGTCACACCCTTCCCTTTCTTCAGGAAAGGCTGTCAAATGTTAGGAGTTGCAGCATCAGAAAACGATTTCTAGTATATCTGGAATTAATCAAATTTCTAGGAAGTCTGAAAGCATGAAGAAGTGACTAAATGTTCGTCTGAATCCACTTCACCAACTTGTTAGTTGCCTCTCCCTCACGGCCAACACTGATAAAGACAAATCCTGACTCTTTCCCTCTAGAATTTTACTGGCTGCAGGTTGCCTGCAATTTGTGGGAACAATGTAAGAACTATAGGGAGCAAGGGGGCTTGAAGTCATTTGTGCCCTCACTTGCCGCGGCTCACCTGCATTCCAAATTCCCCGTCGCGTTTCACAGAGCATATAATGTAGTTTTGTTTATTAATATTTGAGGTTGGTTTGGATCTTATATAAAGGAGGGGCAACCACTTTAAATGGCCACATGACATCACCTGCACTGCTGATGCAGTGACACAAGCATCAAAATGCCTTCATTTGTTTAGGAAGGGATGAGGTTCATTCTTTGTGCCAAATGTAGTATTCTCCATAATTCCATCCCGAAAAGGAAAAGTGTCACATGACCTGCTGAATTCTCAGTGTGACTGGAACCCACTGAGGGCAGAGACGGTGCTCGTCTCTCACTGGATCTTCAAAGTGCTCTGCTCTTCCCGGGCCAGCATTGAATCAAAGAATTAATCACTAGTGACAAGCTACACGTTACTTGGCTCTATCCAAATTTAATTGTGCTTCCATGGTTTCACAAGCCGCATTTGAAGGTTGCTATGAGACATTAATGAAGTGGAAACAGTAGTTTATGGAATCTGACTAAAATCTATTAGTGGCAGAAATCAGATATCTGCAAACAATTCTAACAGAATGGAGGTACTTTAAAAGGCTCTGTGGCCTTGTGAGGCTCTGGTTGACTCCCCGGCTCGAGCTTTTCGTGGTACTTCGACTTGTATTTCCTGCCCCATGAGGCGCATTGCTCAGTGTTGACATAAAGCTTCCTTGGCTGGTCCTGGGAGGACGTGTGTACACAGGCACAAGCTGGAGGACCGAGGATATTTTAGCGGCACTCCAAAAAAGACATCTGTTTTCAAAAAAATGTTTATGTTTAAGACAAAAATGCATTCTGATTCCATTAAATTATGGCACTAATTTACATATTCATGTGCCCTAGAGGAGATCTAAGTTTAAACTGGAAGCTCTCTCAATTCGATGAAAGGTTGGAATTGCCATGCAAGTAGGGGACCAATTCTCTGGCAAGGAAGTTTGTCTCCTGGAGCTTCTAAGAAAAGGATCATCCAGCAGGGCTGCCACCATCTACACATTACATTTAACTGAAAAAGTTTTCACAAAATGACACTCCCCTTACTATGCAATGCATCTGAATAGTTTCCATTCTATTCTATTCCATTTTTTAAAATGCTGGTCACATCCACGTTATTGATTGCTTGACCCACTAATGGACTTGATCTGTAGTTGGAAACACACAGCAGTAGAAAAATGAAGAGCATCCCCAAACCAAAGGCTCTAACAGGAAGCCACAAAGACTGCTTGGGAGGCTTGGGAATGTTGTGATCCAGAATATCCATCCCCAGGACACACTCCCCAATGGTGGCCTACAGTTCATAGTCTGTGAAGCTGGGCTGTCTGAAAGTCCTCGGGCGGCAGCACCCTGGGCTCACAAAATGGGGAGTAAGGCTAGAGTGGGCTTTGCATTCTCTCTTCTTTAGCACAGGATGTTCAGGAACAAGCCACCACTCCTGGCTCTTAGCAAGGCTCATAGAGCTCTGTGATCCCAGGAGGAAACCTCCCATCCTTTCAGATGAAACTCAAATGTCACTTTCATGAAACTTTCCTTAAGCTCTTACAGTGGACAGTCCTCTTGCCCTCTTCTCAACACCTACAGCACTTGATCCACACCCTACTTTGTGGACATAGCACTTTCTAAACTGTGGATTAGTTATGATTTGGTCTTATCTCCTTTACTGACTGAGTAGCTTGAGGACTGTTACGAAGCCTTGCTCATCTTTGTGTCCCTGATGTAGCACAGTGCCTTGCATGTAGTAGGTTGTCAATTGATATTTGGTCCATACACAAGGTGGCCAGAGAAATGCTTTGTCTTATACCTGGAAGTTGAAAATGATTTATCTTTGAGAAAGTGTCACTAAAATTCTGTAGAAGAGTCACTTATCCAGTATTGGCATTCTTACACGTCTTACCTTCTGCCTCCCCATCCATTCCTCCGCCCATCTGTCCATCCATCCATTCCTCCATCCATCTCTCTGTCCATCCACCCAACACTTATGGAGAGTCTACTGTGTTCCTATGCTGATGGTTGTGGTTACTAAGATGGGTAAGACAGTCCCTGCGTCTGAACCTCAGAGTCCAGTGGGGCAGAAGACAAAGTTGAGAATAATGACAACATAGTCTGAGAAGTGCTAGAAGGGGCAGCTAACCAAGTTTCCTGTCTCACCTCATAACCCAGTGCTCTCTCCCCATATATTTTGTCTACTTCTCTCAAATTTCTTAAACTCTGCCCTACCAGCAAAGCTTTTGTTAAAGCATTATATCCTATAGTTTGTATTATGAAAACCACAGCTGTGTAAAAACGTAAAATTGTTATGATACTGAATATGTTTTTTCAAAGTGTTTACATGTATCTTAAGCACAGATGATAAAATGGGAATTACAGTGTGAAAAGCAAACTATTTAAGTTGAATAACCTCACTTTACTGCTGAAACTCTTCAAAGACTTCCTTTTGCCCTAAGAACAAAATCTGAACTGAGGTCTTACCATGACTGAAGGTTTCTGCACAATCTGGCCCCTACCTGCTTATCCCTCTCCACACTCCTCTTTTCCTTGCTGTCTCCCAGCCAAAGTGGCCCCCTACTGTCCCCCTGCTTGGTACACTCTTCCTCCACTCCTTGGTGGTGGGGTTGGGGGTGGTGGTGGGATGCAGCCTAAAAATTCATCAGAAAGGTCCTCCCTGACCACTTAATAAACGCGCTTGCCCACTATTATTTTCTACCATAGCAGCCTGAGCTTTTCCTTCACAGACCTAATTACAACGAGTAATTATTTCATTTGATCCTTTGTTTCTCTTCCTAGACTGTGAGCTCCACAAACTCTTCTATTCATCAGCCTATCCCCAGAGACCCACATGTTTCTGGCACATGGTAGATACTTAGAAATATTTTTGGAATAAATGAACGTGAGGGCCGCTTACAGAAAGAGCGCCTACTTGCAAAAAGGAGGACGATTTTCATCCGCGAGGGAACGGCCTTTGCAGAACCAAGCAGTGGACCAACAGCGCCACCAAGCGGTCAGTCTGCATTACCCAAGGCATCCGTTCCTTTCCAGAAATCTAGGCGTTGGAGAGCTGTTCCTGGTATTTAAAGGCGAATCACAATCCACTAAGCATGTTTCTTTATCGCCTTTATTTAAAAAATCCAAAAACTGCCCTCAAACATCTCTCACCTCCCCCTCCACAGAGTGGGCCGTTTGAAGGCATGTGGAGGCTTACTAGCTAGGCGGACTTTGGGAGTTGCTATGGTAACTTTTCCCTTTTTTTGCTAGCTGTTTGGAAACCTTACATTTTCAAATCCGCATGCTTTGAAAGGTCTGCTTGCTTCTACTTTGTTTTGCGAGCTTTGCTTTGATTTGCCGTATTTAATTTGCTTCACTTCCTAATTTGTTAAATGACGTGTTATTAAAATTCCCCAAGGAGTCAGCACGAATCTGCGCCCGCTGAGAGACATTAACCGCCTTCTGGAAGCATCGGTGAGTCTAATCTGAGCACTCCTTACAAGGTTGAAAACCCATTAATGTATTACTGCTGAGCTGCTGTGAACAGAATCCGCTCTGGCCTGGAAGCTGCAGCGGACAACGGACGTCTTTGGGAGATGCTGGAAAAGCCTGCGTCGTCCCTTCATTTCCTACACCCACCAGCGCTTCCGTCTCTGCTGCTGCTGGGCCTCCGTGAGAGAAAAGTGACCCTGACTGCCCATCTCACCAGCTTGTTTTCTCTCATTAGTCACCCCTTGAAGACAGGAAAACAGAACGTTCTGTGCTCAATTAGAATGACGCTGAAATGCATCCCAGAGGTCTGTCCATCACAGATACGAGACCAACATGAGCCACAGAACATGCCATTAGGCAGTAACGGCCAGGGCCCCCCCTCAGCGTCAGGACTGAGGGAAATGAGGATGACTTAGGGAGGCTGCGCAATGCAGGAGTGCGTCACCGCCAAAGGCAAATGGAAGTGTTAAGTAAAGAAAATGCAGGCTACCAGTGGTGCCCAAAAGGCTGCTAATATTGACGGAGCTGCAAGAGCTTCTGGGAAGAAGGCGAGGGCAAAATTTCTTTGCACTGTGAGAAGAATAGGTCGCAGCACCCTCTTAATCATTATTAAACAGCTTTAGGGTCCTGTCCTTCAAGTAAAAAGGGAGGCAATTTCTCCCAGCAAAGACAGAGACCGAGGACCCTCTCTGATAAGTGGTACCTGCTTCCACCCCCTCCTCATTTTATTTTTTAAAATAGTAAATATGTGGTATTTGTTTTACCTGAATGCATGGCCCTTATAAAAGGGGGGAAATATCAAATAACACAGAACTGTATATATAAAAAGTGAAACTTTCCTCCTCTTACCCTTTTCTACTCACCTCTCCACAAGGGGGCCTCTTGGAGCAGTTTGGTGTGTAGTTTTCCGTATGTATATAAAATTGTGTGTGTGTGTGTGTGTGTGTGTACAAATACAGTTCAGGTACAATTTGAACCGTACCTAAATTGTACAATTCAGCTTTAGGACTGAATGGTCTTGTTGTGCTATTTCTGGAGTGTGGTTTTTATTGTTGCTTTAATTTCCATCCAGTCTGAGTCTCAGGCACGCGCCTCCTTGGTCTACTGCTGCCTTGGCCTGCCTCCTGAATCCCACTGCCCCAACGCCCTTGCCCTTTTGCCCCTATTCCTTGCGTGTTGGATCTGTGTATCCTGAACACAATCTGGATTTTGTCCGCATATTTCTGGCACCGTCGGTTTTCTCTAAAAGCCCAGTTCCAATGCTGACCCTCATGCTTCCCAGAGTCGTTTCACCCGAGTAAAATCCATCCCTTTCCTTTAACTTCAGAGTCACAAGAGCCCCCCAGCAGCTTCCATGGTTATCTTTGGGTGTGACCCAAATTCCCACTGCCTTCCCTAGGGTGTCCATGTGGACCCCACACCTGCCTGAACTCTCTTCTCACCAACTTTGTCATTTTGCTGCTTGAACTTCAGGCTGGGCTCTGTCAACACAAGGGTTTCTCAGTTTGGATAAAGGGAGGGCCTGTCCGTCCCTCACACAATCTATCTGGTTGGCATTTTGCATGATGTCAGCCATTTTGCTCAAGAATTAAATCAGGAAAACGTATGTCATTATTGTAAAGCTTGTCAGTAGCTTCACAAGCAAATCATTTTGCATTTTGCTTCTAAGGGAGGTTTTGGTATCAGATGGTACTATGCATGCTTTGACATGTATCCTTTCACAGCCTTTATTTTTACCTATAATTCCTTTCACATCAATCGAGAAAGTATTTATTCAGGGCATAACCCTGTGATTGGCACTGCGAGGGATATGAAAAAGCCATGGGGCCAACTCTTTTAAAAAGGTGTTAATTGGATTTTTCCCATATAAAACCCCCCATAGCATTTTATTTCCTAACTCTGCTTCTCACGGTCAACTTCATTTGCCCATTTAATGCAATTTGCTTCTCATGATAAGATTCTATTAAGTGATTATTAAGACATTCTGAGTACTTCAGCCAAGCTCATCTATAATCATTATCGACCTCCTGGGGGTGATGCAAGGTGTAATTAGTTAAAGCTCACTGTTGCCTCCCAGCATCCGGAACTACAAACAGAGATACTTCCACGCGGCCAGTCTTCGAGCCCTGAGCTTAGTCTGGCAGCTGGACCAGTAGATCCGTGTGGAATGCCAGTCAATGTCGCATCTGTGGAAATAGCATACTAGACATTGGCTATCTTTATTGACATCAAATTATATCTCTAAGGGTTGGTTTCTATCGGTTTCTAAACCATATTATGTAATAGTCCTAATCCTACTGTTAATAAAACAAACAAAAGAACCTCCCACTAAAAATGGAAATAGGTTGAAATAAATCAACCCAGCATTACCCTTGAACCTCTCATTCTTTTAATCTTTCAGAAACACTCATTGAACTCCTTCTGCATAGGAAACACTGGATTGGGATCCAAGGCTACGAGGTTGAAAAAGAAAGTCATTGCCTTCAAGGAATTTATAATCAGTAAACTATACAAATGGTAATAAAGATGTCTGGCCAACCTTCACATTTACTCAAAACCCTACCTGACATTAAGAGGCATGAGTGTCCACGAGCTGAGCAGGGCTGTCGAGGACAGGACACTGTGGACACCACTCATTCATGGGGTCTCCAGGGGTTGAAAAGCCTTCACTACAACAATTAAGAGAGAGTGGGGAGCAAGGAGAGAGGGAGAGAGAAAGAGGAAGAAATTGCCTCTGAGTAGTTTAAATACTTCACTGATGAAAGTCCTTGAGTCAGGTACCAAAAGCCCCAGGGCTCCTGGAGTCTGTTTCCTCTCATGAGCTAGTTTTTTAATCCCTTGGAAAACGAGGAGCATTTAATCAGCAGAGGGGGTGAACCACTGCATAGGATGCAGACCGCAGTGAGAAAAGATGTGGGTGACATCCTTATAATAAGGATCAGGCTGAAAACCTGAAAAAAAGGAGCAAGCGTTCATGGAGCATCACAGTGCGGGGACATTTAGTACACTGGCAAAGAGCGCTACAAACCCAGGCGGCTCCTCAGGATTTCTTTGCATTACAGCATGATACAATCATTTACCGTCATAATGACTCTGACACACTCAGAAAAGTTTACACCATGGCTGCTAGGCAGGAGACTAGGTAATAGAGGATGATTTCCACCAAAAACATATTTCCAGAAATTTGAATCAGTTCTTAAAATAATTAAAATCTGTTCTTAAAGTAATTCTTCAGTGATAAGATGCAGGAAGCAAATTGTAGTTCAATACAAAGAAGAGCTTTCTCGCAATTTTAGCTGCCCCTACGTGATTTGGCAACTCTGAGAGGTGGTGAGTGCCCTATGGCTTAGAGATATTTAAGCAGAGTAGGACAGGCACTTACGGGGAGGCTTCCGAGGGACTTGAAGTGCTGGCCTGCTGCACATTTTGTATAGCCTGGGAGCTAAGAACAGTTTTTACATTTTAAAATGTAAATTGTAAAATGTCCAATTCATTTAGCTTTTCAGTGAGAACCGTTGCTCAATTTGCATCTTGACGTGGCAAGCCTAAAATGTCTGCTCTTTTGTCCTTTACAGGAAGAGTGTGCTGACTTCTGCTCTAAGGGGCGTCGTTTCGCGACCCCGAGGCCCAGGGCCAAAGCAGCCTCGTGTTCTGACGAGGCCTCCATCACAGGACTCCACGGCAGACCTGCTTCCCGGAGGAGGAGAGCGTCCCTGCCCGAGACACGGACGGTCTCCAAAACCAGTCTCCATCTAAAATCAGGGAATGCTTGTTAGGATGTGCGAACACCGAATTTCCTCTTCTCCTCTTTCTTACAAATTAAATTTTATACTTTCAGGTGTTATTCATTGGCTGGGGAGAAAGACAATGAGTTCCAGGAGGCAAACAGCAGGAACAGGGCACATGTATAAATCACCTGGATCTCTCTCACATCGGTGCCAGTGGGACATTTCCCAGGGCATCCTACAGATGAGGGCCAACCATCCCTGGACCAGCCTTAGGGGTCCCTCCAGGGAAGATGATAGAGGCAAGAGCCACGGACCGTGATGCTATTTTTACGCTACAAGAGAAATGCCCTTAAGAAAATGGAAGTATTCCAATTTCTCTTATTTTTTTTTTTTCCTATTTTTTTCTCCAAGTCTGGGGCAGAAAATCTTATCAGGATGCCATCTCCACCTGTTCTGCCTTTGCTAAGGGATTAGCAACCCTTGAAAGGGTCTGGTCTCCAGGCGTGCTGGGGGCGAGAAGAAAAGGGCTCGTCTTGTGACTATCACAGGTGTGAGGTGGTGGGTTCAGTAACATGGTAAAAGCCCTGGGTCTCCAGGAGAGGGACAAACAAAGAGGAGAAAACCCTGACTCATCCCCATGAATCTCAGCTGAAGGTAACAAATTCCACTGCTCGGAGTTTGAGCCAAGACAACGGCAATCTTCAGCGGATTTCACGATCTCCAGGGACAAACGTGTTTTTCGAGTTGGCTTTTAAAATGCGCATCTATGTATGTTCGTGTCTTTCCTAGCATCAGTGTGCCCACACATGGCAAGTCACTCTGGGCACAACAGCATGAGGTATGGTGACATTAAAAATCACATATTGTAAGTATTTTTAACAGCTTCAAGGAAGTTTGCACGTGCGTGTGCATGCATAAGTGTGTACACACACACACACACACACCCCACATCCCAGCTCAGTGCTGTGACTTCTGCTGCTGCCTCCTATTCTGCTGTATGTCAGATTACAAGGGCACAGAATCAAAGTTTATTGCACAAAAATGGTCGAACTAGTGCCACCATCCCTGTGTGGATTCTCTATGTCTTTCATTTCAGAACCCCGATCACAGAAGGGTTATTGTTATGACACGTGTTGCTAAACATTAATTTTGTGACCCAAATCACTCCTGGAAACACAGTTTCCACCCACGCTGGGTGCTTTCACTCTAACCATTTTCATAAGCATCTGTGAGAGAGGCTGTAAGTACCCAAACATCTCTGAGAGAGAAAGTATGGTGAGGAACCTCCAAATAGCTTCACTGGCATGTCTGAGCATCCTCGCTCCCCCTCCCCCCTTCTCTTTACGCCCCTTCCCTTCACCTTTTTTCCCACACACACGGACTCACGCTTCTCCAGGAGAATGGACTTGGACCACGTGTGTCATGAGTGGCAATCTGGATGGGCACATTTCCCCTGTCACAAAACTGTGTCTTCTATCCAAGCCACTCTCCTCCCTCCCCTCCTTCTCAAAGCCTGTTTCACAGTCAGAATTCAGCTCAGAGTGAGGAGTCGGCACTGAGCAGATGGCTGCAGGCAGCACCTTCACGCAACCTGGACACCTACTCCTCGGCAGAAAGAACCCGGGAGCGCCATATGTCGGGGCTGCCAACGCTGCCAGCAGAAGGGAAGCTTTGTTCTTTTGCTGGGTTTGTTTTGAAAAGGGAACATAAATAACACACCCCCTCTCTCCTACTCCAGCAATCTGGGCAGAGCTCGCTGGCTGGCCTTGTGGTGGCTCGGAAGGCCAGAATTGTTCCCTGAACACGGCTGAGTACGAGAGCTGGCCTTGGCCACCAGATGGATTAAGTCTGATTAATGGCTAAGAGTAAATAGTACTCCATTGCTTTTCTCGTATTTAACCAGTGAATGAGCTTTTTGCTGAAACAATCATGTTTTCCTATAAAAATTAAGATTTTTGTTTTCACACAACCCAAAAAGCTTCTCAAAAAGTCAGTTGGAAAAATGGATGTCCCCACCACCTTGGCTGATGTGGGTGTTGGGGAAAGGGGAGGGCTGATGTGGCAGTGCATGCAGAGGGGGTCGGGCAAGGGTCTGAAAGTCTTCAAGGCTTTTGAGACAAGTGTCACATGAAGGAGCCTACAGGTTCGTTCTGCTGTCAGCCAGTCAGGTTCGCTTCTCTCATAGAAATCCTACACGCTTCTCGAAGTTAGTCATTTCAAGCTGTGAAGTGTCTGAGAGCTCAGAGAAGTCAGCACGGCCTTGCTTAACACCCTGTGCAGCCTAGCATGCCGGGCACGTCATAGATTTTCAATAATTTTTGTTGGATAAATGAATGAATGGTTAAATGAATGACTGCTTTTTGAGTTCAATAAATTCTTGATAGCTTAAAATGTGTTTTGAAAACACATCATATATGCGTGTGTATGTGTGTGATACTTGTTTGGACATGCATATGTATACAAAAAAGATTTAAAATAATCTAGCCAAGGTATTACAAATGTTTAATGTTTTTTATTGCTAGCCTCTAAGTTCTATTTTTCATGTATTACTTTTGTTATTAGAAAAAAGTTAGCTTCATTTTGAAAAGGAAACATAACATGTAACAGTAGAAACAAAATAACAAAAATAAACCAAAACAATATCAATCATCATCATTATAGTAATTGCAGTTTACAAAGAAACTTTGAGTGGGTGGCGTGTGTCAGACACTGCTCTGAGTATCTTACACGCATGAACTTGTGTAATTCTCATGACTACACTATGAAGTAGGAACTATTGTTAACCCCTTTTATGGAAAGGAAATCCGTGAATGCAAATGATTTATGCTCTTAAACAGTGTGTATAATGTAAAGATAAACAAATGAACGCAGCATACAATTTACAACAATCTTCCGACAGTAGTGTGTAACTGACAACGAGGCTCTGAGCTACCAGCAGTGTAATGAAGTTCACCTGAATGACAGTGTTGCCTCACTGGGTTTGAGAGGAATAAATGAGATATGGAAATGTCTGGCACTATCCCTGGCTTCGAGCTGAGACTTAAGAAATGAAAGTTCTCCCCTCAACCATCAGTCAAGTCCCTCCACAGCCTTCTCCAGGATCGTTCAGGGGTAAATGATAATATCCCAGACCTGAGCTGCAGGAACCACAAAGAACGACGACGAAATAACCAGTGTGAGTCTCAAGTATGGGCCAGCCCTGTGGTAGGTGTCTTATAACCAACTGTCACCTCCTTCAGATGGTCTCTCTACTAAGTGCCCCTCCGGTGGCAATATGTATTGACCCCATTTGCCAAGATGGTGACATCAACTGGGACTTATGCAAACACCATGACACAAGACGGTGAAGTGCCTTTTGAAGCACTACCACACCCTAAAAGTCATGCTTCATGCCATTGTGGGGTAAAATGGATTTTATTTGAAAAAAATTGTTTCTTTCAAAGTCAGGAATCTATATATGCTTGTCATGTCCATTAACAACTATTTGCGAAAGTTCACAGATTGTGCGCTCAGTGAATAGGTGAAGTGGCTGTGAGTTTTTGTCATCCGAAGAGAGGTCAGGAGACTGAGTCAACCCTGACTCTGTGCTCACAAGCTGGGTAAAGCTGGGTTTGGTGCTCCAATGTAACACAACAGAGTTGGTTGTGTATAGTTGCTTCTAGTTGTTTCATGAGTCTGAGCTGACAAAGGCTTTGGAGATGAAGGCTCAGCAAAGCTTTCCCTGGAGGCAGGGGCATATAAGGACTGCATACCCCATAGATTTTATAAAGCCTGAGCCCTGAAATGATGGGGCAGGTCTGCACATTATCCAGAATATTCTTCTTAGAAGGGGGGAGTGTGAACTGGGTTTTGTGGGAATGGAGGAGAGAAGATTTCTCTTCAAGTAGAAGGGGATTAGAGAAGGGAGTCTGGGAAAGGCTTTCCTGCCTAGAAAATAACGAGACCTGCCCAGCTGGGGTGGAACATGCAGTAGGGGTATATTTAATAAAAAGAGAAATATCCTACAATGAATTAGTTCAACAAATATCTGTGGGGTACCTAGTAGGCTGGAAGTAGGCTGGTACTGGGACAACAGGGGGCTTCTCCCTGGTCCTTGTATTTAGGGAGCTTGCAACCTAGTGGTCCAGCCTAGAGAGGGACATGTCACTAGAAGCCTCAAAGTCCCTAGACTTTTGGGAACGGAAGCCATAGGAAGATTCCCACAATTCAGGAAGAGGCACCTAGGACAATTTAAAGGTCGTCAATCCAGAAATGAGCAGACCACCAGGCTCAAAAATGTTGGCAGGGAGGAAAGGAGGTGAAGGGGTTTCATCCTTTCCTTGAACATATTTGATTCCTTTCTCTGGGCTCCCCGTTGTGCAAACCCTCTTGCATAATGCTGACAGAGTTACCTCTGCAAAACATGGAGAGCCTTGGCTCACTCTTCACAAACCATCACCAGCTCTCCATTTGCTGCAGGAAAATCCCTGTGTGGCGTTCAAGGCCCTTCACAGAATGACTTCCGCCTGTTTTCCTAGCCTCATCCCTCACCTCATCCTATGGGTCCTGGAATGTCCCAGAAGTGCACCTTTATTCCCTTGGCTGTTCATGCTCTTGCCCCTTCCTGATGGTCTCTACTCCCTCTTCCACTGAAGAGGCCAACTCAAATATTATCTTTCTTGGGGAGATTTCCCATATTTTACAAATTCATTCCATTTAGCTCAACAAAACATCTGCTGTATCCCTTTTCTCCCAAGGCCCGGCACGTTGCTCTAGACATGTGGGCATCCTAGTGAGCGAAATCCTCAGAATCTGAAGGGATTTTGAATGATGTTGCTAATGGGTGACTCTAATTTGCAGACTAGAGTTTTATCTTGCCTGCCAAATCCTGTCCTCCAACTATGCAGAGAAGGATATAAATGCAACATTTTGGTCTAGCAGGAAAAGTACAGTGATTGATTAATGATGTCTGCCACTGCCACAGAAAGGGGATGGCAGCATGCATGCCATTTTTTCATTCTTTTGATAGGAGTTTCGAAAGGGCACATACTATTTTTGCTGTTGTTAATATAATATAGTCCTGGTTGTTTATGATTTTTTTTGTTAATATGATAAGTCATTGGTTGGTAAGAGCTGGTTTTTCAGCTGTCTGTTGCCCTTCCAATTGACTTCATTCACATTTGGCCCATAGGTTCTTGGAGGCTTCCACTATATAACAGTTCCTATCATCCATAGCTCTGGCTAAATAATGAGAAAAAGATCTTAAATACAAAATGCGGCTGGATTAAGTACCTTCCATTGCTATTTGGATATTAACGCATCATTATAATCTGGAATCTTAGTTTTCAATGTTCTGAGCCTCAAATGCTGCTTATTGTCTGCGTAGCTAACCCTGCCTAATGCTGTCTTCTACATTCAATTAGTAATGTGTTTTGGATGCTTAACAATGAAGCACAGTCTGATTTTCATTCAGCAATTTGCAGAGTAAATGCTCTTGCAAAAGACCCAATATACCTCTTCCCATCCTTATTTGACTGGGTGCCCACAGCGAGGAAATTTGCACCTGAAGCTGGAGACAGGTCTCCTGTCTTTGTTCAGATGCACCCTAATGAGGTTTCTAACCCAACTAGGATGGTCCGCACAGTGCCCTGTGATCACAATCAACTCAGATGAAACAAGGAACCTCCTGAGTCGAGTCTGAAAGCAGGTCTTATTCACTCTAGGTATGTTTTCACTTTCTCCACAGGCTCTGAAAGTGATTATCTTCCCAATCAGAGAACAATGACTGCAAAGGAACGCAGTCCTTGTAAAGCCTAAGGGTACACGGGTTGCTCTAACCAGAAACACATCTCACAATGCAGAGAGGCCACCTGGGATGCTCCACTGCCAAGGGATGGGCGGACATCGGAACCAGAACAGAGAGCCAGGATGCCAGCACTCCACTGGAGGGGACGCGGCTGCCATTTGAACTAATGCTTTTGAAAATCTCCTGCTGGGGAGAAACGGGCAAGTGCTAATGGATGTAATGAACCAAGACTCTCAGGGAAGCCAGAGAGAGAGCAGTGCCATCAGCTGAATCACTGAAAACTTGAGCAAGAAAAACACTTTGGAAAAGAAACCCAGTGGAGCAATTCAGTGCGGCCGAGGAAAGGGGCTGAACATTCAGTGTGGCCCCTGAAATGAAGGGCTAGTTGTCAGCCCTTTAGTTCTGGAAGGAGGTATTTGGTGTCTTTCTAGCACAGAGACCTGAGGTGGGTGATTGGCTCCAAACAGGAGTTTCCCACCCACTTTGGGAACGTGCCTGGGGTTTGGACAGCAGTTCACAAATGTGGATGCATGGAGACAGAGCATGGAGAGCAAAGGGCAGCCAGGGCTGTGTCCTCACACAGACCCCTACCCCTTCCCTGCCTGTGTCCATGTCACCTTGCCTATCTCATCTTGTCTGTGGGCATTCAACTGGCACCTGCTGCCACTTTTGCTCCTGGGTTAGTTTCCTATTGCTGCTGCAACAAACTAACACAAACTGAACAGCTTTAAAAAAACCCCACAATTATTCTCTTACAGTTCTGGAGGTCAGAAGTCTAAAATGGACCTCCCTTCTAGAGGCTGGAGGCTCAAAGGAAGAATCCACCTCTTCATCTTTTTCAGCTCCTGGAAGCTGCCTCCATTCCTTGGCTCATGGCCCCTTCCTCCACCTTCTAATTCAGAGCATCGTCGAATCTTTCTTTGACTCTCCTGCCTCTCTTTTTCCCCTATAAGGACCCTGGCGATTATGTTGGGCCTGCCTGAACAATCCAGGATAATTTCCGCATCTTAAGATCCTAATGTCATCACATCTGCCAAGTCCTTCTATCGTATAAGGTAACATATTCACAGGTTCCTGGGGTTAGGACTGGACATCTTTGGGGAGCCATTATTCTGCCTACCACATCCCCCTACAGTCTACTCTCAGCAGCCAGAGAGGCCGAAGTGCCGGGCAGTCCCAGGAGCTGCCCCTCGGCAGCCAGGGTGAAGGTGAGCCACATGGGCCCAGGGGACGGCATGGCTGGCATTCTTCACCAGTTGGATGGTACAGGAAACACTTCTTGAGTCTCTTCAGCCACCAGTCCTGGCATACCCTCTTGGAAATTAAAATGTGTTTTCCAATGAAAGCAGTGTGAAAAATCACGGAGAGAAATCACTGAAATTGTACTATGCTCAATGGGCATTGCATGTTAAACATGTTTGCTGGGCGGCCGAGACCTGCCCTTCACCTTAAACTTCATTTCTGTGGCACATATGCTGCTGAACAGCAGACATTCAATTAGCCACTCCTAATGCGTGATGGTTTTCCAGCTACTGTGCTGAACCTACTATTTTGCCACGTTACCTAGTCCACACATATCCCTCTCTATTGCTCTCTTAAATTGCTCCTTTCCTAAGAGTTCTGTTATTTCAGTGGTAGCTTCAGGTCCCTCACTATGTTGGGGAGACACTGCCCGTGGCTCTTGTCTTATAGAAAGAATTTACAACATTGGACCTCAACATCAGGTTAATGGGAAGAGCAGGGAAATACAACTAAAGGGCAGGTTGTTAAAGCCGAGGCAGCCCTCTACAGCACATGAGGGGAGGATCCAGTTGTGAATCTGGGCTCAAGATCAGACCTTCCTGAGTTTTAATCCGAATTCTGCCACTTCCAACTGTGTGACTTGGGCAAGTGTAAGTATGACCTCCCCGTGTCTCAGCTTCCTTGTCTGTAAGAGGGAGATAACAAAAGCTCACGCCCAACCTTGTCTTCTTTGGCTGCCTCACACTAGAAGTGCTTTCCCATTCTCCTTTGCAGCAGAGACGACACAGTTCTGGCCAATGGGCTAAAAGTGGACGTCTGCCAGGGAAGATATGGGAGGAGATTCTTTTTTCTCTTACTTTCCTCTCTTTCTGCTTTGGGTGCTGTCATGTGAGAAGGTGATGTTTGGAGCTGCCATCACCATGACACCAGGAAGGGAAGGCCAGGAGGATGTAGAGATGCTCACCCATGGCCCTGACATCATTGGGCTGCTGAACCACCCTGGAACTGCTCACCTCTCTGCTGGGTGAGATGAGTAAATGACTCCATGGTTTAGGCCACTGTCAGCTGAGTATTGGGATTCTTGTGACTTAAAGCATTCTAACCAATACAAATTTCTGTCTCAGGGGGATCATTTTAAAGATTAACTGAGATAGCGCATGTCAAGTGCCTGGCACAAAGCTAGCTGTCATTCCATGAATGGTAGTCATAATTATTATTATTCATACCTGGGGAAAATAAGGATGTACTATTATTTGCTTTTTAACTTCTACTTTACAATATCACTAACTCACCATTTACGCTTGTGCAGGGAAATGAAGTGAGGTCTCACAGGCTCAACCAGATTTGAGGAGGAGTTTATATCCTGATTTGGCCTCCTGGAACAGGAGCTCCTGAAGGCCAGGGGCTGTGTCTCATTCATCAGTGAGCTCCATGCCTGGCACATAGGATGCCCTGAGTGGATGTTCTTGGGTGGGTGGATGGATGGATGGACAAGTGAACTAACCCAAGAGCCTTTGCAGAATCCCCTCTTATCCAGCATCCGGCCTGGCAGCCTCTCGTTCCGTATAACATACAAAAAAATGAAAATCAAAGTCAGACTTTTATGGGAATCTGGCACTTCTGATCTTAAAACCCTGACTGAGGATGTGTCATAGTCTATGCAGGGAGGTTTCCCCTGGGCAAAGAAGGCCATTGAGCGTTCTCCCAGCCCAGCATGAGCCAACCTGTCTGCTGCTTTGCTGAAACATCTAAATATGCTGTAAGGCCTTTATATAATGTGACTTTTTTTTTCCCAAGAAGAAAGAGATGACTTGCACAGAAGAATTCTAAGAAAATTACTTGCTGCAAAGAAAAAATGATGATGATTTTATTATACCATCAGGACCGAAAAAAAATTGCTCACAATAACCAACTTCTGTTGGGCTTTCTGCTAGACAAGACAATCTGATGTCTGAGCGGCTGTAGGGATTCTCTCATTTGCTAAATTTGGGAATAGATGTTGAAGCAAGTGTTGGACAATGCAAGATCCTCACACCATGCTTTTGATCAGTTAGCCCAGGCAATATCACTTGTTCTTCTCCTGTACATCCTGAAACCCCTCATCTATGCAAACGAATCAGGATGTGTGTGTGTGTGTGTGTGTGTGTGTGCATGTATGTGTCTGTTTTCAGTCCATTCTTACCTGCAAAATTTTTCCTTACGCATTGAAATTTTACAGGTCAAGACCACCAAAGGGATTCCTTCTCACTGTCACACTGAGATGGTCAGCATCAGTCATAATTTACTCTATCTCGCGTCTTTCCACACTCCCGTATCAGTTAGGAATTTCGATTGGCTGCTAATAACAGCCTGGGATTAACCTGTGAAGAAAATGTAGTTTGGAGGTGCATAGTTGAGGCCTGGTTTGAGGGTTCTGCAGTGTCATCAGGAACTAGGGTTCTTTGCTCTCTGTTTTAACATGCGGTTTCCACCTCAAGGCTGCCTCATATTTCAAATATGGTCACAATAACTTCAGCCATTAAGCCTGCCTTCCAGATAGGAAGCAGAAGGAAGAGAAAAAGAGTACATCTGAAGTATTTTTCCCCTTTAAGGAGCCTTCCTGGAAGTTCTGCCTAACAGCGTCCGTTTATATTTCATTGGCCAGAAGTTAGTCCTATGGGCATAACTGGCTGCCAGGGAAGCTGGGAAATGTTGCTTTTTGGCTGGGTACGTTGCCACCATGCATGCAGCTCGAGCTCTTTCCTGAGGAAGGAGGGGAGGCTGGGTATTGAAGGGGAGCAATGAGTACATGCCTTACGCCATCTTTACTCTCCTTGCCCCTCTCTCACCCCCGGGGTCCATCTATGTTCTGACCTCTGATCTGTTTGGGTTTTAATTCTCCCTTAAATCAGTGTTTAGCTTTTAATGTTGATTATCTGTTCTCTGTATGGAGGGGCCATTTGGGGAGTTGTTAGTGATGTCCTTCAATGAGAACAGACTGAGAAGCTCCACCCAGGTAGGCTGCAACTCACTTTAAACAGGAGCCTAATGCCTCCAGGGTAACCCGCCATTAATTTGCCAACACCACCAAAGACACAGGTATAGAAAGAGGCAAACAATCTGTTAATTGAGCCTTTACTATGTGTCATTTAATCCTTCCAACCAACATCCCTAAGAGGTAAGTGTCATTATTAATCCTCATTTCATAGATGAGGCAACCAAGGATCAGAGAGGTTAGGTTACCCTCTGTGGGTGAGGTTTAAACCCCGGTGCTTTTCCTATTACACTGTATGTTTTAGTAAGTTCTTGGCTGTCTCCTGAAAATGAAATAGGCCCAAAGGGGAGCCCACAGGTGTGGGAGTCTGCCCAGAACACACCAGCCCCAGCCTGGTGGGCGTCACTGATTTCAGAGGCTGCTCTTGGCCCTTCGCCAGTCTGTACGATGGAAGCAGGAGGGGCGTGGAAAGGTTCCCCATCCGTCTGGTCCACAACCTCAGTCCTGCCTCGCTTCTTTCCCATCGTGGCACATGTGAGAAATGATAATATTTGCACAGCATGGGGGTAACAGAGGCTGATCCAGGCCCCCTCTTGCCAGAAGCAAAGGGGTCTACAGCTGTTGCTGTCCCCTCTGCCAGGAACACCAATGTCCTTTCTCTGTTCCAGGTTCCAGTCCAGGATCCTATGTTCCATTTAGTTGTCCTGTCTCTTTAATCTCCTCCAACATGTGAGAGCACCTCGTTATTTCCTAGCCTTTCATGATCTTGACACTTTCAGAGAGTACTGGTCAGTTATTTTTGTAGAGTATTTCTCAGATTGGGTTCGTTTGATGTTTTCTGATGATTAGACTGAGGTGAGGCATTTTTATAAAGAATGCCACGGAAGTGATGTGTCTTTCTCAGTCCATCACATCTGGAGGTATGTGATGCCAGTGTGTCTTGTTACTGGTAATGTTGACCACGACCATTTGGTTACGGTGGAGTCTGCTGGGTTTTCTCACTGTAAATTATTATTTTCCCCTGTGTAATTAATAAGTTTCTTGGGGGAGATACTTTGAGACTATTCAAACAACCTGTTCCCTTCAAACTTCTGCCCACTAATTTTAGCATCCCTCTGTGGATCTTGCCTGTGAGATTCTAAAGGGGATCTTTATATGTCCCTCATATAAACTGTAATTCTTCTTTAAAGGAGATTTCTCCCATCTCCCCTACTTATATATTTATCCAACTATTTATTTATATCCATATTGACTCAGGGATATTTATTTTATTCTATGAATTATAATCCAATGCTTTCATTTATTTTGCTGTTCCAGTTTTTCCAGCTCTGGCCACTGGGAGCTCTTTCGGGTTAGCTCCTATGCCCTATTGACATGCCATTGTCTTTGAGGGGTACTTCCTTAATTTCTGGCACCACCAAAATGCCCCAGATTTATCTGGATTTCCCCTGCCTCAGTCCTATAATCAACCACTTTTCCAAAGGAACCTTGGTTCCTTTTATTGGAGAGAACAAGAGAACAAGAAAACAAGATCTGGCTGCTAGGTGGGATTCTCTATCATAAGATAATTTAGAATCAAAATATGATTCCAAATTTAGAGATAAGTGTAGGAATTCATGAAAGGACACGATCACCCACTGTTACACAGGTCAGAAGTGGCAGAAAAAGTTCAAACCAGGGCAGATCCTGCACTATGAACCTCTCCACTAGTGTGAATGCCTCATTTATTAGAAACATGAATTACTACTTGGCAGGAAAAGTGCGGATGTGGCAGATCAATGTGATTTCTGGCTGATGGAATGTCAGATAAAGTAGACTCATCTATATAAACAAACTTGGCATTCAATAAATATTTTTGGATCGATTTTGTTGAATGAATCATCATTATCATCAAATATTTCTTGGTCTCTATGATGTATGTCTACTCTTCAGTTCACGTTAGTTCCTTTCTGGAGCATGGTTGGGCATATGTAAAATAATAGCACAGAAAAATGAAAATAATGGCAGGTTGACTTTCTGGAGCCCCATGGTCTTTGGATGGAAATTTAATGGCGCAGTATACCCTCCCTGTTCCATGTGCTGTAGTAAGCCAGGAAACCAAGGCGTGGGGCATGAGCGGCTTGCCTTTGGTGAGCAGAGCAGAGATTGCATTGAGGTCTCCAGGCTGGATCCTCATCTGCCTTTGACCTTCACGATCTGACCAATTACAGCTCGGGGCAGGATGACAGCATCCCCAGAGACTGAGCCTGGAGGGGCAGGACCACAGGAGAATTCTCTGCACCTTGTGGCCCAGGCCTGTGGGTCATCTGAGAGACCCCGTCCACACTACTGGGGAAGAGACTTAGAGAGTCCATTCCCTTCCTGTCCTTCCTGGGTTTAATCCTCAACATCAAAGCCACCTCTTTCTTCAGGAGTGGCTAAGAATCCAAGACACGTGTAACTAGAGAAACGAAAACACGGTGACTTGACTGAACCAGACTGATCCCGAGGTTGGAGTCATGATTTCTAATCCCAGTTTTGCACTACCTGGTTGTTCACATCAGGCAAAATCTCATCTCTCTGAGCTCTACTTCCCTGGCCTTAAAATGATAGGGTTGGACCTATCCTGCTTTGAAATTCTTGGAAGCTTCAAATTCCTTTCCAGAATTTCCCTTAAAAAGCCATGGGTCAGCTGCAGTCTCATTGGTGGAACCCTTGCGCCACCTAGTGGCCGACTCAGAGGCCTCGTTCTCCCTAAAAATGCCTTCTGCTCACAGGTGCCACCTCGATAGAAGCAAGAGAACAGAGCCAGGCCAGCCCTTCCATTGCAGCCCTCCGCTGCCAGACCTGCGAGAAACACATAGTTAATTCATGTCCTGGAAAGATATTTTGTGTGAACACACTGTCAACCTCCCGTGGCAAAGGCCTTGGTGTGGTGGGCATGTGGTTACAAAGCCAGGCTCCCGAGGTCAGGAACACCCACAGAGGTGCCCTGCTAAATGCAATCCGGAGATGTGTTTGGGTTGCTCTCTGCGTGCTGATCTGCTACGCGCTACTCCCTAATGCTTTGCGCTGCTTCCCAGTTAACGCTCATTAAGCGCGCATGCTGTGCTTCCACCCCGGGCCTTCGCCCCGCTGTCAGAACCCTCTCCGGACCTCAGAAGCAGAGAGAGGCGGGAAAGATCCCTTGGGTCTCCTGCTCACCTGCAGAATACTTCATCGTTTGGAAGGTCCCTCTGGGTTTTTCCTTTCCTGACATTCCCATCTAAATAAAGATCACTTCTGAAGCTTGCCTGACCCTCAGCCGAATCACCCGAGTCATCTTGTGCTGTAGCGCCTTTATCCCGCACTTCCTGGCATTTGCCAAATGCTGCCATTAACCCCGGAACGCCAGCCTCTCCCGGATGGAGCCTCACCCCTCTCCTACGACCGCTGTTTACCTGGCTGTGGAAGTTCCATGTCTCTTGCTTTCCGTTTATATCCTAGTGAGGCAAGGGCAGATGGCATTATTGGTGCCCATCGTACAGGCAAGAAAACCGAGGTCAGAAACGGGTGAGGAGACTCTCCCCACATAGCCAAACAGGGAGTGGTGGGGTTAGAATAGAATGAAGGAGTTCTGACTCCCTGTTCAGTTATGTGGCCTTTGGGAACCTGTTTTCTATGGTCTCAAGAAGAGGCCATTAATTTTGACCACAAACACTATTGAAAACCATTAATTGCCTGTGCCTTAAATAGCTGTGATTTTTTTCCCTGCCAAGCAAGACAACGTAGTCAGTGGGTGGAGAGAGCCCTGGGCTGGGAACCAGAGAGCCTGGGTTCTTTTTTCACGTAGCCACCACCAAGCTGGGGGCGGGAAGTCACAACCTTTGAGGCTTCTGTTCCTCATCTGTGAAACGAAGAGGCTGCATTGAGGTTCTTCTCTTCCGGAACTCGATGTGTATAAGGAAAGGGCATTTCTGATGGGGGCCGTGTCTCATAGCTCTAACTCTGGCTCTATCCAAATAAAACGATTCAGTGAGGCTGTCTTTGCCTGGTAACTGCATATCATTTACCTGGCCAGTCCAGATTGTTCAGGTGGGTTTATTGCTTTATTGATTTTTAAGCTTTTTCCTTTTTTTTTTTTTTTCCAGGTGACCTGGCTTGTTCTTGGTACAGAATTCCATTCCCAGGTTATAAATTCCTTTAGTGCAGCGATAACAAATAGTTTTCACCCTGAATGCCCTTCAAATCAGTGAGCATTGGCTGTTGGGAGCTCTGTGTTAAGCTTTCTGAGTCCACGTTCTAAGGTTCCGTGGAGTGATCGATTAGCCATGTCTGCCATGGGCACGGGCTGGGGAAATGTGGAGGGCAAGTGCAGTACTGACGAGAGCAGTGGAGAATTCGAGAGGGGCAGGGAAAACCATGCCATGTTTAGAGGCACAGAGCTACCTAGAAGTGGAGCAGGGATTGGAATCCAGGCCTTCTCCCTTCAGATTCAGCTGCCTCCCACTCCAGTCTCCCTCTTTATTGGTTGTCATGGCAATCAAGTGCTTAGAAGATGCTTCTTTACGATGATGAAATTGATGGCACTGTGGCGGCAGGCTCTCCACCTGCTCCCTGTGAGCAGTTGTATATGCCCCACAGATGTTTCTCCCTTTCTGCCGGACAGACAGGCTTAACACTGGACAGGAGATTGACCAGGTGACTTTAACAAATGCTCCAAAGGCTCATGTCCCCACTTAAATATGCCTTTCTCCTCCTGGCCAGTCCCAAGAGAGACTTCTAAAAGGTATGTCTTGCACAACTGACAGGTGGCAGCAGGAGGAGAGCACTCTAGGCTGCAGGTGGGAGGACAGAGGGGAAGGGAAGTGAGGGGACAACAGGGCCGGCCTTCCTGGCCTCACAGAGGGGCATCTAAATGGACAATGATGGTTTGCGGCCTTCCGAATGGCAAAGGCACAGTCCCAGAGAGGTGGGCAGTGGAGGGACACCCCACCCAGATGGACCCGCTGTTCTGTAAAGGAACATTCTGTGTTCCCTGCCTGGCAGCAAGCGCCTGGCCCATCAGCTTTCCCTGACTGCACACCGACGGCCCTGACGGCTTTCTCACAGGGCACCCGGAGCTTCTGCCCCGAGCAGATGCCTGGGCTTTGTTCCCACAGAAGAGGCTTGCCTGCGGCAGTCCATCCGTCTCTCTCCTTCATCTGGAGGCTGCACGGCCACCCTTAGCATGTGCAGGCAGCCTCTCAGCAGGTGGGAGAGAGGATGCTGCCTGGGTGCGGAAGGCAGCCTGGGCTCAGGGCATGGGAGACTCGGGGGCACAACCAGGGCCCTGGAGCCTGAATGCCCTTTTGTTTGCAATGAAATAAATCCCCATTTTAAAAAGCATCCACGTTGCCAAAATCCCAGGTAGACAGGGTGCAGCCGACATGCTGGAGGAATTCCTCAAGCTCTGTGGGCCATGAGCCCTCTCCAGGGAAGGCCTGGGCCTGGCTCTGAGTGTCCGTGGGATTCCCCCAATCCATGGGATGGCCTCCCTTCTCAGGCAGGCAATTCTGGAGCGAGGAATAACCAAACCCACGTCTCAGAGCTGCCAGAGAAGGGGCTCTGGATCCCGCCGTAGGGTGGGAAAGCCTGTCTTTTCTGGAGCAGTATGCCTTCCACCTGCACCTCAGGGCAAGGCCTTTCCACCTTCTCCTCTCCGTACGCTCCTCCTTCATTCACTCGCAGGCCCACCAGCTCCCAGGACTCTGATCTGACAAAATAACAGCCTTTACAGGCCCTGACGCTGGCCCACCAAGAAGTCCAATAATAAAAGAAACCCAGTTGCTACTCATGCTCCAAGCCACCTTGTCTTTCTTCGGCGAGGCTATTCCTTTCTTTGCTACCATCAGCACACATTCCTCAAGCAAGGAAACCCCAAGAGGCCACAAGTCTGCAACACAGGCGTGCAATTATTTCCATACCACAATTATGGCCACAGGGTTAGAAACCCAACATGATTTGGGTCCTGAGGGACCTTAAATCACCCTCAAAAGTGAACTTGTTATCAATCAGCTGAGACCTGGGACTAAGTTCCTGTCTTCAATGATTCCATGGAGGACCCTGCAGAGGAGGGAGCACTTCAGTGTTCGGGCTAAGCTGAATCCCAGTTACTCGAGCCATCCTTGCCCTTGGGATGGGACCAGGAAATTTTTGTAAGCCTTCCTGATCCAAGCTATCTTGTTGGGTTTCTTTACACACTGGCTCCATTTCATGTTTAGACCTATCATGAATTTCTCTGCATTTTATTGTAAGGTAGATGCTGTTCATGTGCACAAATAAATCCCCGCCCCCCTCAACAGGATGGGTCCTCAGACAAACAGGTGAATAAGCCTTTATTATCCACTATGTTCCAGGCACTGTACCAGGCTCAGGGGCCCCCATGATCCTCAAGGGGCTTTCAGATATGAAAAAAAAAAATCAGTACAAAATGTTACAGGTGCCATGTTAGAATGAAGGGTTGGGTCCAGTGGGAGCACCAAGGAGGAGATGTTATTTCCTCTGTGGGGAAGGAGCTGGAGGGGAGATGGTGGGAGAGCCACGCACCACCTGGAGTTGTTTTGGAAATGAAAGCTACAATGTGGAGCTATTTCCTCTGCTCTTAGATCCACTTGACAGGCTTCGGTCCTGGTGGTCACAGGCTGTCTGCCTGCCCACCCTGGTGGGGACCAGCATCTGGGGCCTGGATCGAGTTCTCCAAGCTCCCAGGAGATGGCTAGGACAACAGATTGTCAGTATCCTTATTTTCCACCGTGGGGGCCATATTTGCCCGTGAGAGGGTATAGCTGCCTGGAGAGAGGCCACTCCTTCTCTGGCACAATCTTGCCCAGGAAATCCCAAATAGATGTTTTCTTCAATAAGAGCTATGCTTATCTAAGAAACACTCCACGTTGGGGAGAAAATAAATAAATAAAAGAAACAGCCCACCCATAGCCAGAGGGCTGGACATTGCCCAGGAAATCCAGCTAGGTTTGTCCCGTGAGCCACAGACGTGAGTTTACATGGAATGGTTAAGGAAAAACACTTCTACTGCAGGCTTCGGGGCCTACCCCTCCACATCGTGATGACAGTTTGGGTTTTCCCCGCACCCAAATCTATGATTCAGGGGTATTATAGCTCTTAAGGATTGCCTCCATTCATGCTCCCTATCCAGCAGAGTTACTGTCATAGTTCCATTATATAGCATGTACATTAATATGGAAATACTGTCTCCATCATAGACAATAATTCACAGCTAAGGACCAAAGGCAACTTCTTCCCTACCTCGCCAAGCTCACTGCTCAGCTTGGATGCAGAGAAACTAAATTCTAACAGGAATTATCAGAATCGCTAGGTCATGCTAGAGTTCTCAGAGCATGCTCCCCTTTTTTGCTATTGATTTTATTTAATTGACTTTTTCCTCTTGCTCGATTTCTCTGCTCTAGGCAGGCTTTGGGAGACCACACATCTGCTTATCACAACCTCTGGAAGCGCTTAGAATTTATAAGCCTTGCACTCCATGACCTTTGGAGGCGCCTCGAAACCAATCTCCACTGAGGGCTCTGAGGTGCATTACTGTGTCCAATTCGCCCACTACCTGGATCTTAATGGGGTGTGTGAAACCAGGAGCCTGGCCGAGGCGGGGCCAGGCTGTGTCCCTCTCCCCAACCCTGGCTTCCTCCGGCCCTCCCCAGGCAGCAGCAGAAAGGAGGCAGCTCTTTGCCCATGTGGCTCCCGCGCCTCTACCCGCCAGGCGCCATCCACGGGCCATGACATGAGGTTGCTGCACCTCAGTGGCAGCCATGTAGAGCCAAGAGCAAACTCACTTCTGCTTCTACTTATGGAAAAGCACGATCCGAGCTATGCGATGCCATTAAGAAATAATTCCTGAGTTTAAAAGCACTTAACTGTCCATTGCCACGGGTTACTTTTAAGAGATGCTTTTTGTCCTTGAGGATGTCGTATTGGCCAGTAATGAATCCTGGAGGGAGAGTGGGAGGGAAAAGGATGGAAGCACACTGGGAGGGGAGCTCCCACGGCCGTCACTTCAGGCTACAACTTTCCAAGCAAAGAGAATGGTGAGCCAGCCTTTCGGATCCCCTCCAGCCCAGCACAGTGACTGCTCTGTGCTTCAGGGCAGAAGGGCTCACTGGAGCACAGCTCAGCCTCAGCGGCCAGGCCTTCTCCGGCACTCTGCTGGCGGCTCTGACACCCAAGGCTTGTGCCAGATATCCCATAGCTCCTGTGCCCAATGCTCAGTTTCAGGCGGTGTCATTGTATAGAATCAATCTATTCAGAAGAGTTGCCTCGTACTCATGTGCGTTCCATACGTATTTACTTGGTACCCCCATATGGCAGACCCTGCTCTAGGTACCAAGAGTCCAGTCGGGAAACCCACAAAGTTGCTGTCATCATGGAGTTAATGTTCTTGTAGAACGAGACAGACAATAGATGAACACACTGACACATTATATCATATCTGGTGGTGATTCACACCACGAAAAGCATAAAGTAGGGTGGGGGGATATGAGCAGCTCTGGGGGCGCGGTCAAGGAGGGTCTAATGAGGAGCCACCCTTTGAGCAGAGTCCTGAATGGAGGTGGGGTGAGCCACGGGGCTGTTTGGGGCAGAGCCCATCAGAGGGAACAGCCGATGCTCAGTAGAAGGAAGAATCTGGCAGAGAGCACTATGGAGGCTAAAAACAGCCATTATTAAGTGCTTACTGTGTATGTATCAGGCACCTTGCATACCTTATGTGTTCCTTACGTACATCGTCTCATTTCATGGACATAACAGTCTGAGGACACAGGTACAATTATTCTCCCATCTTACATATGATGAACGGAGGCTGAAGGATGACCTAGATAGCCTCAGATCACAGAGTCAGGAAACGGTAGCGCTGAGGCTTGAGCCTGCGTCCAGTCTGAGTCCGAACCCCCAGCTTCCTAACCTCCAAGACCTAGAGCTCGGTGCTGCCGGGGCGGCGCGCACCCCAGGCCCACGGGGCTTTATAGGCAGGACGGAATTCTTCTGAGGCTGCGTGCGCCTGGAAGATGCTTTGCTCATCTCGTAAACTGCTTTCTTTTGTGACTGTTTTCTCTCTTACTTGGAAACATTGTCCAACCAAAGCTGCTTCTCAGGGCGGCTTCCTGAGTCTTTGCTGCTTCACTGTTTTACGAGGTAAATGTGGTTGCTACCAGCCTGCCCATGAATGCCGCCCTGGTCCACAGCTTTATTTCGGGGCTTCCCGGGGCTACCAAAAGTTACACAGCTCTTTCAAGAATCCGGCATCTGGGACTCACGTTTGTAAGGTTGCTTCATTCTTATGTTAGCCCTGAGGTCAGAAACGAGTATCAAAGTGTAGCCATCTTGGTGAATGCTTCATCCATTGGAAGCACGTGGACGCAGTGTGGTAGAGTAGAAAGAACAGCAATTTGGAATCAGTCCGTTTGCAGTTTTGCAGCGTCAGACAAAAAAAAAAAAAAAAAAAAAAAAAAAATCCAAACCACAACAATCTGCATTATTTTGAGCGGATTAATCAGGAGTCCTCTTTGAACCTCAGGGTCCTCATCTAAAAAATGGGAATAAGCATGGCAACTTCTTTCCACTGTTTTCAACAGTGACAACATCCCCACGAAAAGATGCTTCTCGTGAAGAACCTCCTTCACGAGAAGAGGAAACAAAGACTAAATGCCTGGGGCGGAGCCGGTTCCTGCCTCCTCCATGTGAAATGCCCGGATGCTATAAAATCGCCCTGGTAGCTATCCACGCGAAAACAGTTTTGTTTGTTGGCTCTTCTGCTGGCTTCAAGAGGCAAAGCAAGGTCACCTAAGGATGTCCCAGAAGGCAGAAGCAGCATGGAAAGCACCCTGAATCGAGACGAGTGGGAAACTATCTCCATAAAAATATTTTGGATTTGAAAAAACGACCCAAAATTCAAATGTACAAATGGGTGGCTGTAAATGTGATGAGTGGTTAAGTATAGCTTCTGAGCCAATCCCTTTGAGTTCAGATTGTGGCTGTGCCACTTACTAGCTGTGTGACCTTAAGTAACTTAATTGACATCTCTGGACCTTTATTTCACTCTTTGGAAAATAAAATAGGGATAATAATAACACCTACCCCAGAGTTATTGTGAGATTTAATAAGTAAATGTGTAGACACACACAAAAACACACGCACACAGAGTCCCTGACAAATTAAGCAACATTTACGTGTTGGCTGTTATTATAAGGAAAGGACTAGGTAAGTGCTTGTGCTTGATACTGGTTTCGAGAAAGAAAGAAAAGACAAACTTAAGGATCTTCCAGCTAAAACCACCTGGTTTAGGGGCAAAAAAAAAAAAAAAAAAAAAAAAATCCAAGCCATGGCAAAGGTGCTATCAATTATGCAGGGAATGGCATGGTCTGGGACAAGCAGTCCAAGATGAGCCCAGGAACAGCAGCTCCTCTGCTGAAGACACGCGGCGGCTCTTGGTTGGTGCGGATTATAGTGCAGCTCCCGCCCCTCCAGTCGCAGAGGACGAGGAACGTTGGGCGTGCACTGCCTCGCCGATAATTAATTTCTCCGGGGCTGCAGTAATCGGGGGACTCGTTAACGTGGTTCAACCTGCCTGTCATCTGGAGAGCGAGCTGTACACGGGAATGCGGCCGCACTCAGAAGCCTTAAAAATCCTTCCGCGCGGCAGTAGGAGGGGAGAAACCAGACTGTCCCTAAGGAAGAGAAAAAACCCACAAGGGCTTCTTTAATCACATGAAAGAGGAGCGATTCTAACTCAACAGCAGCAGAGGCTCCCTGCGGCTTTGCAAAATATTGTCATGTGAACCCGGTTGTCCCTCTGCTCTAGTACAACGTTGAAAGATGCCGTGCTCCATCCGTATTGGTATTCGGCCCAGCAGGGAGCGTAATCCTGAAGGCAGGTTCGGGGCCCTTCCCCAGGGGCCGCCCCGAGGTCCTGGGGATGTGCGGCAGGAAAGGCCGCGGAGAGGAAGTGAGGCTCCCGAAGTCCCCCCTTCTGGAGGCTTGGCTGCCCGGCCAGGCTCGGGGCAGGGGCCGGTGGCTTCTCTAGTTCTTCAAGGTCAACCTCAGGGTTACACGCGCTCTCCTTCGCTCTCATCTTCACCTCCCGTGAGGAGGTGCTTGAAACCGCGCCCATTCCCTCTTCCCTGTGAAGTCGGCACGTTTCAGAGGATCCCTTTCGCAGGCCCAGACCTTTTCTGCCTGGCTGTTTCTATTCAACGAAGGTATAAAGTGCTTGGAACAGTACCTCGCTCGCTCGCGGTGAGCCCTCTGTGAGTGCTGATGGTTAACACTGGCAGACAGCGGCCCACGATTTGGGGCTTCTGTCCCTCCGGTTTTCCACACTGACAATTATTACTGTACAAGTCATCGCACAAGCAGTCATAGCATCTTGATTTGTGACTCAAACCTCCCTCCTCCTATTTGTCCATCCTCATCTTTGATCCACTTGGGTCAGTTAACACCTACTCTCATTTTTACCCTCCCCCAATGTGGGGGGGGGGGGAAGGGCTGGGCCTCAGTTTACACCCCGCCTCCAGAGTAGGACATGGCTCCAGTGGGGATGGAGATTAGCCCACAGAAGGCAGAGCTCCTTTCGGACTTGACAGGAATCTGTGACACACTCCTCCTCCGCGGGGAAAACAAACATTTCAGCCACTTAACGCAGGAACTGCCCCATTTGACCCTACCCTCATCTCTCCCAGGGGACCTTAAATAGGAGACCCTCCTATATGACCACAGGCAACCTTTCCTCTTAAGTTCAGTTCAACAAACATCTGCTGAGCACCTACCATGTGCCAAGCTCAATGCCAAGTGCCAGGAATACAAAATGAATAAGACGTGTCTCTCCTCTTAGGCAGCACAGTCTAGAGATTGTCACACCCAGAAACACAATTCCAATAAAGGGGAGCACAGAGGAGGGCGCGTCACCCAACCTAGGCTTCCTGGAGGAAATGGGAGCTGAGCTTGGTCTTTAAGGACACAGGTCCCAGGTCCTGGGGAATGGGTGGGCATTCCAGACACTGGCATGGGACATCGTGACATCTGCCTTCAAGGAAAGCACAGTGTGTGGCACCTGCTCACTGAGCTGGCCCATGGATTCGGGCTATGCTGGGAGACAGCACCCAGCAGGGGCTGAGGCTGGAAGCTGGTGCGCCTCGAGTGCCAGGCCATTATCCCCTAAGACCTTATGCTACAGGAGTTTGAGGCAAAAGGCTGACAAGGTGTCCATTTTGTATCTTATTTGCTGATTATTCCATGACCCAGAGGAAGCCTCTGGAGAACGCTGCAGAGTTGAGCTGTGAAGGTCGCAGTTTTAGACTCTGGTATTCCAAGGAGCTGTTCCTCAGCCATCTTAGAACCAAGCTGCTCCTTTGTTAAACAAATTTGATAACTGGATATTTAATCTTGACATACTTGGTCAAAAATTCATAGGGTGAAATTTTCAACTTCTACCTTAGTTCCTAATCTGTAGACAGAGCTTTTGACTTCTGTTGAAATGCTTTCTCCTCTATGAAGCTTTCCTGTTAGCAAGAGTTTGTTCCTGCATCCTGCCCTTAACCCCTTAGGATGCAGTGTCACGACTGGAACACAGCCCTGCACATCAGAGTACACAGTGCGATTTGCACACTTATGGGTCTGTATCACAATATGCCAGCCTGGGCCTGGATCAGCTTCTCAGAGACGATATGCTCCATGTCACAGCGTACGGAAGAATCTCACTTCCAGGCTTTGGCACAGGCTGGGCCAACACTGAAATTCTAAGGAGTGGTGTTTATTGCAATACCGAGTTTTAAACCTGAATCATACCTCACTCCTTAAGATTTTTGCTACGCTTCAATGATTTTTCTGAAGATTAATAGAATAATGGGGAAAGTGCTTACAAATGCTCTTCCTCTAGTAAGCCCTTGATGATGTTGTCTGTGCTCGTTATTAACAAGCATTGTTCTGCTGAAGAGTTAAGTCACTGACACCCCTGGGCGTAGACAGAAATTTACCTTCTGTGAGAAATGAGTTGGGCTTTTTAAAAAAATGTTGATTATTTTGGCTTCATTTAACTCGTATTGTTCTTTAACATTTGTGTTTATGTCTTGTCCCCCTAATTAGACTATAAGGACTCTGAGGACAGTGATCTTGTTAGATTTCTATCTTTATATTCCTCACAGTGCTTAGCACCCTTTCTTGTGTGTAATAGACACTCAATAAATATGTCTAGATTGACTAGATGCACACAGAGTTCTATAGGTGACTATTAAAGTGTTAATCACCACAACACTTGGGGATTGATTATCATCCGCTCCACAGTCCTTTTCTTTGCCGCTAGTCCTTGCCTCAAGAAAATGATCAGGATGCAGGTCCTGGGGTGGGTAACCAACCCAAAAGACTGTAAACTATGCCAGCTGACCGGTCCCCACACCCCAGCGTATCAGTAAGTCACTCTTCTTCACACTTTGCACTGGCCCAGCAGAACTTGTGACCTTCTCTGACCCCCAGGCTCAAGGGAACCATGTGCAGCACCAGTTCCCCAGGCTGTTTATGGTGCTAAGGAGCAAATGACTTCCACATTCAGGAGAAGCGCTGGGGGCCGGCCCTGTGGCCAAGTGGTTAAGTTCGCGGGCTCCGCTGTTGTGGCCCAGGGTTTCATCAGTTCAGATCCTGGGCACGGAGATGGCACTGCTCGTCAGGCCATGTCCCACATGCCACAACTAGAGGGACCTGCAACTAAGATATACAACTATGTACGGGGGGGATTGGGGAGATAAAGCAGAAAAAGAAAAGAAAAAGATTGGCAACAGTTGTTAGCTCAGGTGCCAATCTTTAAAAAAAAAAAGAAGGCAGGAGAAGTGCTGAAGAGGCAGCCGCTTTCCTAGGTCAGCCGCAGCAAGTTGGGGCAACTGAGTTGGCGCCATCCTCCCTTTAAAATAATAGGCCATTCAGTCTTGGGGAGAGAAATGAATCAGCAACCCCAGGGCCATTCCAGCAGCCCAAACAGCTGCCAGCTGGGCAGCCCATTGCAAACAACCAATTAGTATGAGTCCCACAAGCTGATTTGAGCAAATCCAGGCACCTCTCCCTGTAGAAACTAGCAAGGCACACATGTCTGCACGGAAAATGAAGTTGTTCCACCTTCCGTGGCGCCGTTCCACTCCAAGGAACAAGCTTTATTTCTCTCAAAACTTGGCTTCCCTTGACTTGCCAGATGAAAAATGATGAGAAGTGCCTGAAATCATCTGCTCCGGGAAATGAATCCAAGCTCAGCGAAAGACCGTTGGGCTGCTTTTTCAAAGCACATCCATCAGCCTGTCTTATACGTGAACTAGGATTTTGCTACCAGGTAAAGACAATAATTATTTCAATTAGCAATTGTATTCGATGTAAAAGATAATGAGGAATAAAGATGCTAGACCCAGCCCAATGACTCCCTCCGTATGTTTCTCTTTCCTGTTCTAGTTGAGCGAGCAAATAAATGCAGAGTGAATT